TGCATACATACAAATATACATGCATACATGTGTTCTGGAGGGAGCCCAGCGCGAGCTAGGGCAGCTCCAGGCCCAGGAGGCAGGCCTGCAGCTCGAGCAGAGGAAAGCAGACACCCACAAGAAGATGACGGAGTTCTAGAAACCCTGGCTACACACAGTGCACAGAGCTCAGGGACCCCAGCTCCTGGCTGCCTTCTGGAAGACCAGCTGTCGCCCAGCAACTGGATGCCGCTGGAAGAGGGGCCGTCTGCTGCCCGGTCAGCCTTCTTGCGGGCCTAGGGCACATGGACGCTGCTGAGTGGCGATGGGGCTGCCGGACACTCGCTTGCCCGTTGAGTCCACCTGCCAGTGTCTTAGGGAGTCTCCTTGGCAAGGACATTAAAGTGTTACGTTGTGGTGTCTTTTCAGGCGTGTGGATCTTTGGGGACAGAGGGGCCTTTGGTTGGCATTCTCTTTGTTCTCTGGCATGGGGTTCTGCCAGCAGGCCTGAGGGGGGTCAGAGGTTGGAGTGCCCCTCCCATTGCCAGACACCCACAGATGTGTCGGGTTGGATGCGACAGCATCAAGGAGAAGGGTGTGGCGGTGATGAGCCCTTGAGAAGGCACTGCCAGTGAGGGCGGAGGCTCTGGCGGGTGGGCTCGGAAGTCTGCGGGACCGCGTTCAGCCCCGGGGTTTGGTGGCCGCGAGACCGCCCAGTTCCCGTGCTGCGCCTGTTGCCTCAGCAGCGCATGCCCACCTCATCGTGGGTGGAGACCATGTGAGTTGGGCTGTTGGAGCAGGTGCTGCTTGCTGCATGCGCCCCACACGGGGTGTCTGGACCCCACACGGCTGCAGCAGGAGCAGTGGCAGCAGAGGGTTGAGTGGCTGCGTGGGGAGATGTGGTGAGACGCCCGGGCAGGAAGTGGGGTGGGGAGCTCCGCTGAGCTGTGCACAAGGGCACCTCTGAAGGTGCCAGAGCCACTGGGCCTGCTCCAGGCGGGGCCGAGGAGGAGCCGCCGTGCGCGGGGACTTGGTAAGTGCCTGTGCCCAGCCTCTAGCCTGATCAGGTTCCCGGCCTCCTTGGCGGCCCCGTGGGAGCAGCCGAGGGTTGGGGTCTGGTAGGACTAGGCCCTCCGGGTCAGGGCACCGGGGCCAGGTTAGCCAGCCTGGCTCCCTGGGTCTGGGCCGACCCGGTCCTCATCTCCAGACAGCCCACCCCCTGTCGCCGTGCTACTAAGGGTTGTGCTGACTGTGGGATAGACCCCCCCGCCTCACCCCAGTAGTTCTAAGATCCCCGGAAGCAGACAGATCCAATGACAGGGACAGTTGGAAGGGAGGGGTGAAGAGCCAGGGAGAAATGGGGTGGGGGTGGTCAGGGGCCAAAGCAACCTCTCCTTGCCTGCTGACCCCTCCCCTGCCTTTCCAGCCCTTTAGGGGGGCCAAGCTCTGCAGTGGATGGGTCGGGGGCACCACCTGCACGTGTGGCCTGTGCCTTGGAGGGTCAAAGGTGCGACCGCAGGGCCTCCCTAGGTCCCAGGCTTAGGCTGCGGTGACCAGAGCAGGCCCTTGGCCAGGTCACAGCTCCCCTGCCCCTCCTCACGGGCCGCGTTCAGCTACCACTTGGGCCATCCTCACCGACTCAGGTGCTTGTGAGGCCAAGCAGAGCACACCTCGTGTGTCACCAGGAGCCCCCAGCCCGAGTTAGGAAGGCAGCTGCTGGGCTTCGTCCTCCATGCTTCTGTAGGAAGGAGGGGCTGTGGAGCCTTGGGGTTTCCTGTGTGCTGAGTCAGAGCACCCGAGGGGGAGGGGACTGCCCAGCAGCTTGAGGTGCAAAAGTAGGGCTCTCCGGTAGGTGCCCAGTCCATCAGTCAGCCCCCAGCATCCCTATCTTCTTGCCCCCAGGCCTATCTGTGGCTTCACAGGATGGGGCCACAGGTGCCCTCAGCCCCTCCTGCCCTCTGGGTCCTAGGGTGCCTTGCCTTGTTCCTCTGGCTGTGGACACTGTGCACAGCTTGCCACAGGTATGTCCATCCCTGGCCCGGGTTTGGTGTGGGGCAGGGCTCCAGTCGGGTCTGGCTCTGCATGAGCCTCCCCACTGGGCCCTGGGCCAGAGGCTGGCACCTCAGTCCCCCATCCCTGCCTCCCTGGCCTGATGAGTCCCTTGCCCCTAGGAAGCGGGCGCAGAGGCCGCAGGCCAGGCCCCAGCGTTGTGTGATGCCAGTGGAAGCGGTGAGTGCCAGGTTGTCCCCAGGGCCAGGGTGGGGCCAGCACAGGACCCACCAGCCTTCCTTGTTCCCAGTCACTGCTGAGACACCACCACCTCTGCTCCCTCAGCAAGTCAGACACCAGGCTGCATGAGCTGCACCGGGGCCCAAGAGGCTGCAGAGGTGAGCCAGGTTGGGGATGGGGGTGTGGGGAGAGTCGAGGGGCTGGGGCTTGCACCCTCAGGCTGCTCCCAGACTACCCAAATGTCTCTCCACGCCCAAGTGACCTCTGTCTTGGCCCCACCCCAGCCCCTCGGCCTGCCAGCATGGATATCCTGCGCCCACCATGGCTGGAGGTGTCCAGAGGCACCAGCAGACCGCTGGCAGCCTTCTCACACCGGGAACTGCCCCGGCCAACGACTGCTGCCACCTTGCCCTCCATCTGCCCCGAGGCCACCTATTCCAATGTGGGGCTGGCTGCCATCCCCAGGGCCAGCCTGGCAGCCAGCCCTGTGGTGTGGGCAGGGGCACGGCTGACCAGCAGCTGTGCCAGGCCTGGGCCTGAGGCCAGACCCAAGGTGGCTGAGTATGCTTGTATCCAGAAGCTCAAGGGAAGAGATCAAGGCCCCCAAAGCCTGGGGCAGTGGATGGCCGAGGTGACCCCAGCTGTTCAGGTAAAGTGGATTGGCCGGGCTAGGGTGGGTTGGAGGTGCTTGGTGTTGTCCACCCTTCCTTGAGTGGGCTTCCTCCCTCCAGGTGGACAGCCTGTACTCCAGGGTCAGGAAGCCTAAAAAGAGGGACCTGGGACCTGCCACAGACCAGCTGGACCCCAAGGGCAGAGGAGGAATTCCAGCTCCGGGAAGTGACCAGGCCTACGAGACCCTCCCACTCAGGGGCCTGGCTATGGATGATGGCCTCCTGGACAATGTGTATGAGACTATCCAGGAAATGGGGGCCCCGGAGCACCCCGAGCTCTCTGGCTCTAGCTGTTAGCCTAAGTGGACAGAGGCAGGGCACGGAGGCTCCCTGCTTCCCCAGTCTCAGCCTAGGGAGGGGTGTCCAACCCCCATCTGCCTTGAACAACCAAGTATAGATGTTTTCTCCTTCCACGGCAGTGCCCAACCCCTGTTCCCTGCCCCTCCCCCACAGGCGGCTGCGCAGTCTGGACCCCAAGGCTTCTAGCCTGTGAGGTCCCTGGGGGTCCCGCCTGCCATGGCCTCTTGGCCTCTCCCAAGGTCTTAATAAATGCCCAGCACGGGAAGGATGAATACAGCCGGGCCTCACAGCCTATCCTTCTTGAAGACCTGGGAAGGTTGTCGGGGACTGTCTAAGAGGACCCGCCTGCCTGGGGCGCCTGGCCCCGGTCACCTGAAGCGGTGCTCAGCTGCTCAGTTTCAGAAGACGGTGTGGGGAAGGAGGCAAACTCCGGGGGTAGTGACCCCCAAGCTCAGTCGGTCTCAGCGGGGGCTGCAGCCGGCCCTCAGGCTGGCCGCCCCAGGGTGGGACTTGGACCCTGAGCACCAGGGAGGGCCTCGCCACGCAGCCCCTGGGGTTACGTAAGGTGTGGGGGTAGGTGGGCAGTCGTGCGTTAAAGAGTAACCTGCTCCCGGGAAGCCCGCCAGGGAGACGCGGCCCCTTCCCCGGGCCTGTTGGCTCCGCGCGCGGGCACACCCGCGAGTCCGCCGGCCTCCCCGGCGGCGGGGGCGCGCAGGCACCCGGGGCTCCGCAGGGGCGAGCGGCCGGCGGGCGCCCGCGGTGCGGCGAGCCGGGCCCTTGCCCCAGGCCGCGCGGGAGCTACCGGCTCGGGGGCCGGGCCTCGGAGCGCAAGCCAATGGGGGCGCAGCTGGCCCCGGCGGCCGGCCACCTCGGAATGTTGATACAGCGCGCGAGCCAATGGGCGTGCGCCAGGGGCGGGGCATGGGGGCGGGGCGCGGGAGCGGCGCGAAGGGGGCGTGGCCGGCCGGCAGCCTCCGGGCCGCGCGGCGCGGGCGGCGGCCGACTGAGGGCGGGGGTCGGCGGCCCGGCCAGCCCGGCCCGGCCCGGGGCCGAGTCCTGAGCGACCGCCCTTGCCACTGCAGTTTTGGGACCCGGCAGGCCGGCCATGGAGGCCGAGCGCCCTCCGGGGCTCGTTCCGGGCTGCGGGCGCCCCCCTCCCCGTGCCGCTGGCCGGGACCCCGCGGCCGCGCCCGTGTCGGTGCCCGCGCCGCCGCAGGTACCGGGCGCCGGAGGGCGGGGCGCCGACAAAACTCCCTCGCTGCAAAGATGGCGTCGGGGCTGCACAAACTTTGGGCCCCCGGGGGCGGGGCGGCGGGGGCGGCCGCACCGGTCCGCGCCTGTGCGCGGGCCCGGCAGTGCGGGGCGGCCCGGGAGCTCTTCCCGCCGCGCCGGGCCGGGGGCGGGGCCGGGGGCGGGGCCGCGCTGTCCCCACCGGCCGCAGCCGGTTTGGGGGGCGGGTGCGGAGCGGATCCGGGGTGGGGGCTGGGAAACACCGCCCCGCGCGAGCCACCGCCTCCGCTGAGCCTGCCCCTTCCGCAGGGCCCTGCCGTGGGCGGCGGCTTTGCGGGCTTGGAGTTCGCGCTGCCTCAGGAGCCGGAGCCCCGGGCGGCGGACCTAGAGGTCCCGGGGACGTGGGCGGGGGCGGGAGCAGAAGCGGGGCCCCCGGCGCCGTCGGCAAACATCCCGGTGCCAGCGCAGAGGTGAGCCAGGGTCCCGCGCGCCAGGTCGAGGTGGGCGTGAGCACACGTGCGCTGGCGTGTGCAGGGATGGTGGGTGGGGCGCGGGCAGGTGCCTTCTCTTACCCCACCCTGCGGCGGGGGTCTTGGTGGGGGACCGGTCTGGACCCCTGATCGGGACTTTGTGTCCCTCTCCCCAGCTCTCCAGCCCTGGAGGAGCTGAGCCCAAGTTAGCAATATATAGTGCTGCTCGCTCCCGTCAACCTCGGGCCAGAGCGCAGAGTCGGGGGTGGGGGCGTCACTCTGTGCAGTAGAGGCTGCCAGGCTGGCCTGAGGTTGACGGACCAGGGATCCCAGGGCTTCTGACTGCCGACTCCCAGCCCTGCCTAAACCCTCCTGGGCGCCCCACAGCCAGTGCTGGCTTCTCAGGTAGAGGAGGGCTCTGGCCTGGCCTGTTGGGGCCTGGGGACTCTGCTTGCGCTTGGAGCCCAGTCTGCCCTGGCTGCCGCTGGCTGCTCCCTCCCTCCCTCGCAGGCCTGGCATGGGCTCGCAGCTGCTGTTGCACAACCCTGGTTAATGTGTGATTTGGTGGAGGGCGGGGCCTGGCCTGGCCTGGCCTGGGGGTGGGGTGGGGCTCAGACCCCTGTCCAGCTCTAGGGCCTGAAGGAGTCGCTGTGGAACAAAGCCCAGGCTGCAGAGAACTCCGGCTTTGGGGAGACCCCAGCCCAGGCCCTGTTCCCAGAGGTTCCTGGAGATCTGGGGCTCTGTAACCTGAGCTGGGGGTGGAGATGGGCCTCCAGCCCAGTGCCTGGAGGGAGGGAGCAGGCGCCTGATCACGCGCGTGTGCGCGCACACACACGTGTGCACATGCGTGTGCAGGGCCAGGAGAGGAGCCTGAAATGCCTGAAGTATTTGCTGGATGCCACCCGCATCTCTTCCAGAGCCCCCCCGGGAAAATCCCGGCTGGACGAGGTCATGGCTGCGGCAGCCCTTACCAGCCTGTCCACCAGCACCCTCCTTCTGGGGGCCCCGGTTGCAGCCTGTAGCCCAGGTGAGACTTGGACACCTGGCCTGGGTAGGGAACTGTGTCTTCAGGACACTACAGTCCCCTACCCCTTGGGACAAGCAGCAGCCCTTTGCCGGGACGCCCACCTTGTAAATGTACCTTCTCCAGGCCTGAAACAGACATCAGGATCTCTAGCGCCTCTCACTGAGGCCAAAGCCACAGTGTCCCAGGTCTGTGGGCCTCTGTGGCCCATCCCTTTCTACCTGGCCGGCTAGGCATCCCCACGCAGGCTGTGTCTGGTTACCTCTCCCTGCCGTGTGCCACCGCCTCCTCCACAAGGCTTTTCCCACCCAGCTCGCCAGTGAACAGGTGGAGGCCCAGAGCTAAGGGGCCTGTGGCGGCAGTTGCTGCAGAGCGGGCTGAGCCCCCTAAAAGCCCTGACGGGTGCTGGTGTGTCCCCACAGAGCCTGGCTTGGAGCCCTGGAAGGAGGCCCTGGTGCGGCCACCGGGCAGCTGCAGCGGCGGCGGAGACAGGGGCTGGGACCCGGCCAGTGACCAGTCCTCGCCAGCTACCCCTTCACCCTCGCTGCCCTCCGAGGCAGCCCACTTCCTATTTGGGGAGCCTGCCCCAAAGAAGAGAAAGGTGAGCCCGAGCGGCCCTCGGGGTGGGGTGGACGCAGTGGCCACGCCTGACCCCCAGCCCTTGTCGCCCAGAGCTCCGTGCAGGTCCTGTTCCAGTGTCTGTGGAAGCGGTGCGGTAAAGTGCTGAGCACGGCCTCCGGGATGCAGAGACACATCCGCCTGGTGCACCTGGGGTGCGAGGGCGCTGGCCGGTGGGGGCGGGGCAGCCCCCGCAGCCTGAGCTTCAGCTCCCACCCGCCGTGTCCCCCGCAGGCGGCAGGCCGAGCCCGAGCAGAGCGACGGGGAAGAGGACTTCTACTACACAGAGCTGGATGTGGGCACGGGTGTGCCCCCAGCGTCCCCCACGGCCTCCGTGCCACCCCTCTTCCCCGGCCTGGGGCTGCCAGAGCCCCCAGCCCTGTCCAGCCTGCTGCGCCCGCTGGCCCTGTCCCCGGGCCCCGTGCTGAGCCCCGAGGCACCGCACGAGGCGTGCCGAGGTGACAACGCCTACCAGGTGGGTGAGGCCACAGGCAGCGGCTCAGGGTGAGTGTCAGGGTGCTGGGGACGGGGGAGAGGACACGCCTGTGTCTCCTCTCAGGGCTGCCCGGCCCCCACCCGCCTGGAGCCAAAGCCCACCGCCACCAGGACCTGTGTGCCAACCCTGCCCTCCAAGCTCAGCGCCGGCCCAAGGTGCGTGTGCGTGGAGGGGCCAGGGCGGGCTTCGGGCAGAGCGTCCCAGCCCGGCATCAGCCCTGGTCTCCTCTGTGTGCCCCCAGGAAGCCCCGAGGTGATGCCAAGAAGTGCCGGAAGGTGTACGGCATGGATCACCGGCACCTGTGGTGCACAGCCTGCCGCTGGAAGAAGGCGTGCCAGCGCTTCCTGGACTGAGGGCCCCCCGCCCCCCCCCCCCCCCCC